ATATAAGTGGAGTATATTCATTAATTTCAAATTAAAAGATAAAATAAAAAAATTATCTAAGTTTTCGTTTAATTTGATTTGATTTATTCACTTATTTATTTTGATGTGAAATTGTCTTCAAATTTATGTTCTCGTAGTTTTATTTTTGGTATGTATTATTTATTTTTTGAATGACTGGTGTGTATTATTTTAATCACCTGAGTCTTTAGCTGTTAACTATCGTTAATTTGATAACGTGTCATGTTAGTAAAAATGACTAATCTTAATTTGACCTATAAATTTTAAACAAAATATTAATTTGACCCATAAACTTTAAATAAAATATCAATTTAACCCATAAATCAAGTCAAAACCCCTTATCGTCGGTCGTCGATTATTATCATCAACGGTTACCGTCGAAACAAAGCCTATAGATCCTGATCATGTTACTATTGGTGCATTATTTAACTATAATTCAACAATCTCATAAGTATATTTTATCTTAGTAAATATTAAAATTTCGAATATCGAGAAGGGTGTTTTTGAGACAAATTGAATACTTAAATTCTTTGCACATGAACTCCTGTTGTATTCTGCAATGAATTGTTTAACTTCACCAAATCGTTATTTTAACTCTTAGCGATGAATGTCTATCCCTATAAACAAGACCCCATTCCTCCTCGGTTCTCTATGGCAAAAATGGCTGAGACAGTCCGACACTTTGAGATCAACACCGGAGCAAAGATCCCCTCTCTTGGGCTGGGAACCGCGAAGGTAGCTCCTGGCGTAGTAGCTGCGGCTATTAAGGTATATATTATCAATTATTAAAAAATATTATGAATAAATATTATTTTGTAATCATCCTAAAATATTAAAAATAAAATTGAAACATGTGTGTTTTTTTTCCTTCTTAATATGCAGCTTGGGTACCGTCATTTTGATTGGGTACCATCAAAACAACGTGGACGGGGTGTTTCATGCAAACTCTAATGACGCAGCTATAGGGGTGATCGCATTGGACCAGCACGGAATGGTTGTGGGTGGGCTTGCACGTAAACTCAATCCTCCGATTACTTCGAAAGCAGCTGAAGCCTTGGCTTTTATCCATGGGTTCAGGTTCTCCATTGAAAATGGATGGAATCAAGTAATCTTTAAAGGCGATGCTATTTCATATTGTTATTGTAACAATAACAATAACAATATGCAGCTTGTAATGATCAATTGATCTAATAATGCCTATAATTTATAATTATACAATTTAAAATAATTAAATCAATCGATCATTGATATAATTAAGAACGAACGTAAAATTTCATATTGAAGGGATAAACTTTTCAGAATTGAAACTTTTTTAATGGCAGTTTGCTCCATGTTCTCGAAAATCTCCGTAAGTTACCTTGATCACATAATCTATTAGAACATACATTTAAGGCATTCGAGAAAGTAGCAAATATAACCACTTAAGTCCAGGATTTTTAATGAGAACAATATTTCCTTAAATCGATTTAACTAAAAGTTAAATAATTATTTATAGCTTCTAAAGGTTTTATATCAGTGAATGATGTTTATGTACTTTGTCTTGCACTTTAATTTAACATATGAGATATTATGTTTTCTTTCTTGGATGAAATACACCTGGTATGTATTAAAGAATGAATTTTCTCCTTCTAAACACTACAATTTAGTCTAACTAAAAAACTGTTACAAGCATATTATTGATCATTAAATATCGGATGAAATAATGACGTGAGTTTATATAATAATGATTTTAATCTTCTCGGGTCTATGTCATTTGTAATAGATTAGTTTAATTTTTTTTTTACTTTGTTTAATCGACGGTGATCTCAGTTTTAATGTTGATTATCGACGGTTTATTCTCTTTTTTTTCTTTATTTTCTTTTAGTTTTTGGATAAGAATAATTTTGTATTTGTGACACCTTTTTTTTCTCTGTCTTCATGGCATGTTTTTTATCTTTTTTCTCGATCGTTTGGTTATTCCTTTTATTTTATATTTTTTTAGTTGAATTTAATGATGTCACGGCTAATTAAGATGACACTTATTTGTAATCATGTTGATCTTCCATGCTATAAACCTTCATATTGAATTTAGATATGCAATTCTGCGTCATAGATAGTTTCTCACGATACTCGGATATGATTTGTGGTTTTTGATTGTCTTTCGATAGTTTAATATCCCTTTTTGTGGTTCAGTTATTGATGCAGTTAGATTTGTTCGTATATATTTTTCGTTTGAGTCTTTTGGTTGAGTTTTTTACATTTCCGTGTATGGTCCATATGTGGTCTAAAATGACTAGTTTCAATGTTATAGAAGAATATTCAAATTGTGTATTTAATTTACGATGTTAGTTATAAAACCTTACTATAATTTTGAATATCTTCACTTTTAAATAATACTAGTTGCTTCTATTAAAAAAAAATTAATCCACTAAAATTTATGCATTCTATTAATTTGATATTATTTTAAATAGTTTGATAAATTTAATAATTTATATTTAAAATCTGTGAATTTAATCTTTTTCTTCTTCTTTTAAATTCTATCTTCTCGTATTAATAACTTATATTTAAAAATTCTGTGAATTTAATCTTTTCTTCTTCTTTTAAATTATATCTTCTCGTATTAATGTTACTACCTCTGGCTCACTATTATTAATCTTTTAAAAATCAAAGTTTTAAAAATTTGACAATGATTATTTTAAATATTTTTATACCATTAAATTTTATAAAAATATATATTTAAAAACTACTTGATTTAACTAACAGGGTTAGTCCAAATGGTAAGCAGCTTGATATCGCTTATATAAGGTCTCAGGTTTGAGTCCTTATGTATGTATAAAATCTCTGTTAGGAGACTCACCCATCAAAGTTGGGTGTGCGATCCGGGTCGGTCTAGATTAATTAGGACGCAGTCTTGGGATTGGAGGACAACAAAAAAAAAACCTACTTGATTCAAAGTTTTTAAGATATATTTTTCATATTTTTATGGATAATAAAATTTAAATAATAATGAGTTAAAATTAACAAAATTAACAAAAAAAAGTTAACAGTGGATAAATTTAAGGAGACATAAAAGTATTATTTTCTTGGTATAATAAGAGTTTAACATGATTTTTTTTACACATTTATGACATATTGCATTATTCAATTGTTATTTTGACACAATGGACTTGTGTTTGATTTGACAGCATTGTGAAAAATGACTACATTGTGAAAAAATGACTAATTAATGAAATTGTTGAGTTTGAAGAGCTAAATTTATTAAATTACTTTAAATTACGATTAAACTGATGGATTATATAAATTTTAATTAATTTATTTTAAAGTTTACAAAATCTTTAAAGATTTTTAAATAAAAGAATTAAAGTTTAATTTTACTTGATTTCAAAATTAATAAGGCATGATGTCAAAAAAAAGTTCCTAATATTTATCAAGATGGTAATTTTGGTCTTTATTATTTTTTTGAGCATTTTGACTCCTTATATTTTATTTTAAGATAAAAATACTCTCAACATTTGATTGAATAGTAACTTTAACCCATATTCTTTGTTTAGAGCATTTTTGCTTTCTAACATTTTATTTGAGGGTAAAAACTTTCTATTTTTTAATGTTAATCATTTATTAATTAATAAATTATATTTATGGAGAAACTTTTTACTTCGAAATAAAATATTAATAAACGTTGAGAATTAATTTTAATTAATAAAGAGTAATTGGTCCCAAAAAGGTTGTGGGCCAAGGCTGCTTCCCAACTCAGTCGTATATGGGATCATGCTTATAACCCGTGAAAAAAAATATCCCATACAAAAGGTTTAAAGACTTTATCATGTGAAAAACATTTGTTCAAGGGACACCCACTACATAGTTTTCCTTTCCATTTCTATTAACGTCATAGTTCTGATTTTTTTTTTCAAGGGGAAAATGTGATAAAATAGGGATTTCTTTACTTCTTTTTAAAGATCAGACTGAAAAAAAATGAAACTATTAAAAATTATTTTTATAATTGTTACAGTTTTGTGATTTAATTTTTTAAATCGAACCCGAGATAGTTAGAACGAAACTCACTTAAAACAACGGTTAAAATGAAGATCTACGGTGACAGGATGAGAGATTCAATTTGTGTAGAACTCACCTTTTTTCCATTCATAAGATGACGAAGAGTAAGAAATATAATTTGAATAGATTTCTTTCTATGCAATTTTCCTTTATAAATAATTAATTTATTTTCATAAATAGATATTAGGAATTAGGATTTAATAGCAAGTTGATTAAATCTTAAATTCTGATAGTGAATTTTAATTTTTCCAAGTTACTAATGTGTTTTCATTATTACAATAACTATACATTAAATTGATAAATATATAAATATTGAAAGCTAAAAATATTATTAGGTCAATTATTTAACTATCACATTATCTTCTGTTAAAATTTAACGGTACAATTTACTCTAGTAATAAATACATAATTTTTAAATTCAAATAAAGAAAATAAAATCTTACTAATACTATAACTATGAATGTAGTTTATCATATATCGTTGATTAGGGAAGGGCATGGGTCGGGTTAGATTTTTGGTCCACCCGACCCGACCTGAGAATAAGGAGTCTTCCACCCGAGACTTGACTCGACCAAAACAAATTTTCACCCGACCCGACCTGAAATAATAAAAAATTATTTTTATTCAATAAAAACAGTGACTTAATTGAAAAAAATTAATATATAGAGGTGTATTATTATAATTATTCCTAAATTTATATGATAAAATTATATATTTTTTCGGGTCGGGTCGAAGTTTTTTCACCCTAAACCCGACCGCGACCCGAACTCAACTTTTAAAAAAATTTCGACCCAATCGGATCGGGTCGGAACCTGTCGGGTTCGCGGTCCCATGCACATCCCTATCGGTGATCACGATTTACAACCATTCGAACAGATATATGTGTTATCTGTCCGCGTCTCATTCATCAACTTCATCTTGGCAACCTCCCCTTGATGCTCAGTATATAAAACGACTCCACGGATGATTGATTGTGTGGTGAAAATGGCTCAGGCAATTAGATATTTTGAGCTCAATACTGGGGCTAAGATTCCCTCTGTTGGCCTCGGAACATGGCAGGCTGCTCCCGGCGTCGTCGGCAATGCCGTTTCCGTTGCTATTAAGGTACTCAATCTCCATGCTGCCTGAGTGTCTTCTCTTAACCACGCTCAAGTACTATATGGATTTCGGCTCTCGAGTAAACAATTTATAGCCATGTTTCTGTTTGCACTGTTTTTAATGCAGCATGGCTACCGGCATATCGATTGTGCTCAAGTCTATGCCAACGAGAAAGAGGTAATTCATGAATCGGTGGCTCGAGTTTCGGTGTTCGCCGTAGCTACATATCTAACTTAATGCCTTGATTTGCTCATGCAGATTGGTTCTGTTCTGAAGAAGCTCCTTGACGATCGAGTGGTGAAACGTGAAGAGCTTTGGATCACCTCCAAGCTATGGTTTGTCTCGATTCCGATATCGTTTCCAAAGTGTGTTTTGTCTCAATATTCTGTGTTTTCTTCAGGAACACTAATCATGTACCGGAGGATGTAGCGGAGGCATTAAATGGTACTCTGCAGGATTTGCAGCTGGACTATGTAGATCTCTACCTAGTAAGTATAAAGGCAACCATACCTAATTTTGTAAATGTTTTCGTACTGAAAATGACGATTCTTAAAACATTGGAAGATTCATTGGCCCGTCAGCATGAGAAAGGAGGCGGTTGGCATGGAACACAAGGACCTAACACAACCCGACATACCCACTACATGGAGAGCGATGGAGGCTCTCTATGACTCCCGCAAGACTCGAGCTATCGGAGTAAGCAATTTCTCTTCCAAGAAGCTCGGAGATCTGTTGGAGGTGGCTCGCGTTCCTCCTGCCGTGGTTCAAGTCGAATGCCATCCCGTATGGCAACAGGCTAAGCTACACGCATTATGTAAATCCAAGGGAATTCATTTGACTGTGAGTATCCATGCTTCCCCGTGTAACCTGGAAGTGGACTCGGATGGTTGTCGGATACGGTTGTGTATTCGACACCCGCGTTGCCTTCTGCTAACAAACAAACTAATACTTAAGAATGTTTGTTGCTTGCCATTGTTTCAGGGGTACTCACCATTGGGGTCCCCAGGCACAGGAAGTGTGAAGAAAGAAGTCCTGAAGCATCCAGTGCTGAATGTGGTTGCAGAGAAACTGGGGAAGTCCCCTGCTCAAGTTGCTCTACGTTGGGGGCTGCAGATGGGTCACAGTGTTTTGCCTAAGAGCACAAATGAAGAGAGGATAGAACAGAACTTTGACGTTTTCGATTGGTCCATACCGGAAGACTTGTTCGCCAAGTTTTCCGAAATCGAGCAGGCAAGCTACGTATATTGATTCAATTCCATGCATATGTTGACACTCAATTCAATTGTATTACTGATTTCATGCATTTTTTTGGGATTATGATCCAGGTGAGGCTGATCCAACCCTACGTTTTCGTGCACGAAACTTATGGTGCATATAGAAGCGTTGAGGAACTATGGGATGGGGAGGTCTGAAGAGGTATCACGAGTCGTTTCATAATTAAATAAGAAAATGCTTTAGCATTTCGAATGATGCTGGTATTCAGTGCAAGTTTGTTTAAGGTAAACAACGCACATTTGGATGGATTAAGGGTTTTGGGTTTCATTTTGTCTGAAATCATGTTTATCCAATAATTAGTTAGTCTAGTATGTCATATGTTCAAATCTTGATATTGTGGATAAAAATTAGGTTGGAATAGTAACCCAAAATCTCATTTTGAAATTTGGAGTAAAAATCTCATTTTAGATCCGATCCAACACACTAAAAAAAAAAATTTTAGTCGCCGGATAGATAGATAATTAAAAAAAGGGTAAACTACACGAGTAACAATTTAAATATTGTTAGATTTTATTTTGACCATCATATTTTTATTTAATCGAATAAAAATAAATTTAACCATCGAATTAAAAGGTGTCATGGGTCGTTGGTGACACATGACAAGTGTCATTAATCAATTGGAGGACTAAATTAATTTTAGTTTAACCCAGGTAGAAGGGGCAAGGAGGGAATTAACCAACCCATAGGTGAAGAAGCAAGCTCCAAACCATTGGCTTAAGGCAACCATTTGGTATACTTTAAACAACAAATAATATATATCTTGTATATTAGTATGTAAATACTTTACTCAAAATTAATAATATTTTATATATCTTAAATTTTGAAATAACTTTTAATTTTGGCTTAACTTATTAAATATATTTTATTTTTATGTTAATGTAAAAATATATATTTTATCTTTATTTTCACTTAAAAATATTTTATTCTTATTTCAACTTAAAAATATATTTTATTGTTATCTTAACTTCTAAAAAATGTTTTTTAAATATCTTAGCTTAAAATATATATTTTTTATTAAAAATAATTTATTCTTAAATTAAATATATTTTCACGTAAGATATTTTAAAAATATATTTTTAGAAGTTAAGTTAATAAATTTATTTTTAATTTAAAATAAGAATAAAATATATTTTAAGTGAACATAAGAATAATATATATATATATATTAAATAATAATAAAATATTGGATATGTTTTAAGTTAAGATATTTAAAAATATATATTTTTAAAAATTTTGATAAGAATAAAATGTATTTTTAAGTGAATATAAAGATAAAATATATATTTTTATATTAAAAAAACAAAATATATTTAATAAGTTAAGAAAAAAAACAAAATATATTTAATAAGATAATAAAAGATATTTTTAATTTTAAGATATATAAAATTATTATTAATTTTGAGGGAAGTATTTACATACTAAAATGCAATATATATATTATTTGTTAACTAAAGTATATCTAATTTGTTGCCTACTTTTTTATTTATGGGTCTTTGGTTGGATTCCCCTTTTACCTTCTTATGTGTGGATTTATTTTCATTCAATCAAATGGTGAAAGAATATATAAGGATAAATTTATTTTATTTTATTGAAATTAGGATTAAATTAAAAGAATATGTAACGCCCTCAATCCGAACCTGACCTGGAAACGAGTCCAAGATGTCACATTGCCTTTTTAAAACCATATTCTTACAAATTTTCAAAACATATGAACCTATATTAAGAAAATACGATCATATATTGTTCAATTGTGTTTGTTATAAAATTTTGAGATAAAAACTTATTTATGAACAGTAAATACGTATGAACAATGCTACAATGCATCGATGTACTGCTACAATATTGCTACAGTGATTTTCGTAAAACATACATAAAACTCATAAAAATTTAATCGTTCATTACTATACATTTACATTTACATTTACATAAATACGTTTAAAAATTAGAAAACTTATTCATATGATTTTACAAACCAATTAGAGCATATCATATTCAAATCTTTATTACATGCCAACCACTATAATTATTACAAAATACATACTATTAACTTCTTTTCTGATCTGATCTTTGGAAATGAGAAACTGACCTGTCTTGCATAACTTTTATCAATCTTTTTCTTCTCAAAACCTACGTGTGAAACAATCACACGTTAAGTCATAGACTTAGTGAGGCATATAAACATATAATGGAAACCATAAAACATTTCATAAATAAATACACTTAACCTCATATATTTCATATCAAATGCATGAGCATTTATTACGATCATATCATATAAAACATATATTATTTCTATAACATATACCCACATGCACATATACCCTGATTAACACGTTTAACATTTCATATTCATTATACTTATTAAATCTCTTTATTAGCCCATGTATACTATTGAGAACTGAAGGTATGTGAGTACATTGAGGTTGTGCACTAATGCTGTCACCACATCTCGTATAAATTCCCACTAGGGGCACTGAATATTTGTCCCGAAAGATCGCGTAGAAATGTCCCGGAGGACCACTATGTTCCAAAGGACCACTATGTCCCGAAGGATCACATATCACATATGTCCCGAAGGACCACTCCTTAAGAACCATATACATAATACAATGGACCAAATAAGTGTACCGAAGTACCATAAACATCTTCCACATAATTACATATATGTCCCGAAGGACCAAGTAGAATTATCCCGAATGACAGCGTAGACCCTCGACTCTTGGCATTAAAACTATACTTATATCTCTCGTATCATATAACATGGGCATTTTTCTTTTGCTTTATATATTCATGTACTCATATCATTGCTCTTATGATCACATATTACATGTGCATATAATCACGTAGTTTCCATTCATGTAATTCATGTCACTTTCCATATGAATTCATATCCATATATCACATAGCTCGTATCACTTTGCGTGAATTCACATAAACATATATATCATTTGATTCATGTTTTATTCTTATATCATATATATATATATATATATATATACATCATCTATGTTCCATCACTTAATCTCATATCATATAACATATATCACATAGCACATAAAAACATGTCAGACATAGCTTGTCATTTATCAATACCACATATAACATACATCAATTTCTATGCTAATGCACACATAATAATCACATAGCATTTTAGAAGTTACTTCTTACCATAGTAACTCCATCAATGGCTCATCGCAAGCCAATGTTTGTTCAATAACCTAAGTACAAATTAAATTGTACTCACATTAGCCTTGCTTGCTTTGATTCAATCCTAACTCTTCGATTGTTCCATAACTCGTTTAGGCTCAATATCTATATAAATATAATTTTCAAGACAATTATAAGAAGCCTAAACCTTATAATTCAATACTAATAACTCGAACTAATTTAATAACCCAAAAATTCAGTTTTCCTTTAGGGGTGTACCGATGCACTATGGATGCATCGGTACACAAAATAGCTTCGAAATTCCCATGCATCGATGCATTCCTTAATGTATCGATGCACCTTCAAAATTTGTCTTAGTGCATCGGTACATACTCATAGTGTATCGATGCACCTGTCCAAAATAGTCCGAAATTCATCAATACTTCACCCAAATTTTCATGTATAAAATCCTTATCATGCTACTAAATTCATCTATAACAACTTTAACCAATTCCTATCATTCCAACACCCTATAATCTTCTATATTTCGTCCAAATTCTTAAAGCTAAAAATCATACCAAATTTTCCATGTTATCCAAACTTGATTCTAACACTTCTAACTTCTTATTCTCATAGATGACAAGTCAAATTCATCCTCCAAATTCATTTAAACATTCTTATTCAAAATTTCACTTAAAACCCCATTTTCTTTAATCTTTCATAACTTCTTTATCTTCTGATTTTAAGACAAATTAAGATTTCCTTAAGCTTAATTATCATCTAAGGATCAAAACCCAACCTTTAATTGAACAAATAATCAACTAATTAGAAAACTTACCTTTGCTTGGAACCTCATGTTGGAGAAGAGAAGAAGATGAAGATGGGAGAAATGTCTGGAAATTTAATTCCCAACATATGCTCCACATGGGTATTATAATACCCATTAATTATTATTTTATTATTTCCTTTGTTCAATGACCATTTTGCCCTTTATTTCCTTTGATAATTACTAAAAACTTTTAGGAAATACTTTCAAATAAATCATTGAACCTTTCAACTTTTCCACTTTAATCACCAAATTCTGAAATTTTACAATTTAATCACTAACCCATAGTTTGGGATGTTACAAATCTCCCCTCATTTTAAGAAAATTCGTCCTCAAAATTTCATTGTACCTCTTGATAAGAACATATCTTCTAATGTTCTGATGTTACTTCCCTTACTTAATCTTTCTTATCATTATTAAAAACTTGCTTTTCAATCTTTTAGACTTTCAACTTCCTTTTCCCTTTATACGTTCATTTACTGTCATTTATTATAAATCAGTAACAAATAATCTCAATTTTTCTATATTTTCTCTTATATTCTGCATTTTCCTTTGACCTTTCTATAATTCCATATAATATCACTCATCACGTAAACAATAACATCCAATCCTTACTACTCAATATTATGAATTAATTGATTTACTTCATTCTTCTTTAATTGTTTTACACCATAAACCAAATCTTTACTCATTCCTTAATTCTTGTCTATATTACAATACACAAAAAAAATTATATAATCTCACGCACTTGTTCAAGGAATAATTACCCTTTTATAACAAAGGTGCTAACATACTTCAATCCTTCAATTACCTTTTATTTAATACATCTATATCATATCCCTTATCATATAGATAGTAACATCAATTCTTATTACTCAAAATCCCAAATCATTCATTTTTATCAGAAGTCTCTAATTACCAACTTTTATTCTATTATTATTAATCTATATCTTAATTTCCTTAATATTTATGAATCATTCTTTATCTCTCTGTCCACATCCACTTGACCAAGAAACATAACCTTAAATCCTCATTACAGATGATTAATACATACACTTTGCCAAAATCCAACAATTTTTCATATAGTCTTACGAACATTTTTTTATACTAACTCATACTTTATACCTCATCATAATCCTTGTCATACTTGAGCTTTTAAACTTCATTATTTAATTTCCTTAGTCCTTCATTCCTTCACAAATCTAAATCTCCTTACAACCTATATCATATCTTTTTCTCAGACTCTCAAACCCCTTTCATATCGCTTATACTTATCCCTGATTATTGATCTTCATCGCATCTTTGTAACTTTGATAATTCCC